ACAAATATATGTATACTAAACAATTAAAAGCTTGGAGAAGATATGATTTTCGTTCACCGTTAATTTATGCTACATTCTAAGCTTATCTTGACAACAAAAGGGCCTTTGCAAATTAGTGCCGTCGTTAGCTTCAGGTTCCTCCCAAAAAGCTAGGAAACTTAAAATTCAACACTTTTAAATGGCATCTTACAGTAATTATTTTTCATTTTTTTCTTAGGGATGGGGGACACCCCATCCCAAACCCAACCCCTACTCAGGCAACAAAATTCAACAGTTAAAATTTAACACTGTTAAATGCCAATTCAAACACTGTTAAATGGCATCTTACAGTAATTATTTTTCATTTTTAGCCCACTCTCTGAGAGAGAGGGCTTATATGATGATTCTGAGTGAATTTTGAAGTCATTTGTTTTTCCATCTCTTCCTTCGTTTGTGACACCATTAGGCCAATCTTGCAATAATATGGAAGATAAGGCCTGGGGAATTTAAAGTATGAAGAGTTTTTGCGAAAATATTGTCGGGAAATATGTGAAAAAGTATGTTTTTATATCATATCTCTTAACACTACGGTGGGTTTCCTATGAAAGCGTGTTCGTCATTGATCAGATTGCAAATTGCCTGTATATTCCACATTGTGTTTATCAACCAATCACGGCCTGGAATGGTAAGCTTTGCGGCTAATAAATGCGTCTGCACGAGTCTAGTTGGTTTTTCATTTTTTTTCTTATGTACGGAGGGGGGGACACCCCCTCCCAAACCCACCCCGCTCGGGCCAAAGGGCCCTCAGATGTCGCTCTGCGACATGTTCCTCCGCCTATTACTAAAACTCCTGTTTCATTTCAAAATGACACCCCTGTATATACTGAAACTTACATAATAAAGCATATACAAAAATAAGCAAATTTACATAAATATCATATTTCATTTAACACATGATAATGTTTAGCCTAATTATGTAGGTACATTAAGTATATGAGTACACAAGTTGTACATACATTATTTACATAAGTAAAGTCGAATGTAGGAAGAAAGCCACCCCTGTCAAAAGCCACCCAACAATGGATTATACCATTGTAAGGTGGGGGTGCACAATGGGGTGTTTGTCTTGATGTTGGTCTACAATAGGTTTTAGCTGTAGTGCTAGGAGTTTTTTGTATCAGACCTCTTTTATTCTTTTTTGTATTATAAATCAGAAACTGGGTGTAGCCTACCTAGGCATAAACATGATATAGTACTCCAAATGCAAACATCATAGCGCTTCTTAATTTTCTTTTTCCGTCGATTAAATTAAAATGAAGTAGTTTTTCACTGCTCTGTGATTCTTTTACAGTTTTATTTCATGGTTCTCACTTTCTTTTATTGCAAACAACACAAAGAATAAAGTATCACAACATTTTACTTCCAGTGTATTGATGACAATTATTCACAAATAAATATTTGTTTTTTCTTTCTTTTTTTAACATTTTTTCATTACTATTGATCTAGTACTATAAAATATTATTTCCCTTTCTTCTTTATCATCAATGACAAATATCTATTGACTTACTATTTACTTATTTATAAAGTATGTACAGTCGAGTCCGCCAAAGTCGACTCTGTTTAAGTCGAAAATTCGCGTCAGTCGAATTTTTGAAAAAGTCCCAATTCTTTCCTATGTATTACTGTGTAAATTGTTTGTTTAATTCGAATTTTTATAAGTCGAATTTCGGCTATATCGACGGAATTTTCCTGTCCAGATAGGCCGATTTAAAAGTAATTTCAACCACACAAGTCGAAGTTCCGAATTTATTAGCGCACGTGGGAAAAATACACAGCCGTGAGAAAATACGAAGTTCAATCCTTGTTGTACGGCAACAAGTTAGCCATGTCAAACTAACATCTTAGACAGCGAGCTGTGGAACTTGGCTCACATGATTGTATGTCGTAAGTCGCAGTCTACTCTCACAATACAGACACCCCTCCGGACCGGCTCCAATGTTCAGTTTTTCGTCCAGTTTAGTTTGTAAACTTGTACTGAACCCATATCGAACAAGATTGTTGTAGTCCAGGCCTAGCTATTTAATTAATTTATCAAAGCCCTGGATTCTTTTGACTGCCTAGCCTACGCAAATTCAACACATATTTAATAATACGTACAGTACCGGTACCTGTTGTTTTGCTGTACTGCTCAGCAAATTTAATTATTACCAATAAAACTGATGCGACTTTTATATTGTTTTTGCGTGCATTTCTTTAGGTCTGATTATGTTTTTCCAAGCACACATTCTTCGTTGGGTAATGCCACTTGCCGGTCGGCAGTCTAGTTGTAAACAGAACAGGTCGCGCCCCCAAAAACTCTGCCTGCCCGCTAATTGGTCCATTTTCGTGGGGTGTTTTGCAGACTAGACTTGTGCTTCGGCTGTGATGACGTCAGATCGCCCAAAGTTTCATAGTGCGTGACAGTAACAAGCTCGGTGTAATCAAGAATTTTTTAATTAAACAAATTTATAAAACAAAACAAAAAACAAATAAGAAACCCTCATGATATATTTAGATGTGTATAAGAGACAGGTCCTGTCTACAAATTTCTTCCGTAATTAAATTAGCAACATGTTTTGAAAAGCGTCTTGAGTTTAAAGAATGAATGAGGTGCATTTGAAATTTACACCGACGAATCTAACGAATTTGAATTCTAGACGTCTACTAAAAAGAGTACCGGTAACCAGTAGAAACTTGCTTTGTTGAGTTCCGTCTTTATTGCAGGTTGATTCCAAATGGTTTTTAAGGATTAAAAGCAAGAATATACACTTATTAAAACCATGGAGGTATTATTGAGAAGGAGATCACTCGGCAAAGCTACGCACACGCAGCGCTATGCAAATGAACCAAGATCAAAGTTGCCGCAGCGCGTAAAGAACGTTTGCGCGATGCCTTTGAAGTCCCATGTGTTCCCCGCCATCAAATTTTCAAATTGAACATGACGAAATGGAGAGCACCTTCTTTTCTCAATGCGCACTACATACTGTCAATCACTATGGCTGCGCAATCTTTTTTATTTTGAAGCTGATACATTCATCTCTCATAAAATATCAAACATATTAATATTTCCACCAAGAAAAGTTTCGAATTTAATGGAACATTTACATGACCTATAAAAGTATAGTATATTTCAACTTCAATTTTCATAAATTGGCCTAAATTCGCCCATTCTAATTTTAACAGATATTAATTAATAAATGATTAAGGATTACTGTATAATAAACTAAGTTATTTTAGGGTTAACGAGGGTTAACTATTCGAAAAATGAATCCAAAATCTGAGTATTTTTCAGTTTCACACTGACTTAACTTTATAGTCGAACCAGTCAATCTTTAGACAAAATTATAATGAACACAGAAGTAATTTTAACATAAATATTTTACGGAATCCGTTCCTGAAATATACAAATAATAACATACCAAAAGCCCGAAAAAATCTAATCAGGGGAACATTGTTCATTATAAAGATATTTAATGGGTTAAAATCAAACGTTTTATTGCACAACTGCTCTGTTGGAAGCGTATAAATGCATGTCGTTGCCAAGTTGTTGCTAACGAAAAAATGTGAATTATAGGGTAATACGCCCGCGCGCGATCCAAAAGCGGGGAACACATAGGTTTTCGCGTCAAAGGGATCTGTTGCCGAGTGATCTCCTTCTCAATAATACCTCCATGTTAAAACATTGGAATGCGTAAATTTCACTTCATAATTAACCAAGAAAACGTCTACTGGTGTGTCATGTTAATTAACAGATAATCTCCATGGCAATGCGAGTATAGCTAAGCGTCTCGTTTTCACAGCGTCTAGTATGCTTGTCGTTGAACGATGTCGTTCTATCGTCTGGTTTTTCGAGTGAGTGTTACCGTCCTGAATTTGACAAATCGTCCTAGATTTGGAATAGGGAGTTCATGTTTTCGGAACGTATTTTATTAAAAGAAGAATAGAAATGAGTTTGGGACATAAGAAAATGTTCGGTTTTGCGTGAAATTCGATTTTGTGGGCATTGAGTACACATAGTATATGTTAATATTTTTTTTTCGAAAATGTGCAAGTCGAAATCTGTATAACTCGAACTTTTTATGCCAGTCCCATTAGATTCGACTTATGCGAACTCGACTGTATTTAATTTAACATAAAATAAGGTAATTTCACTTCCAGTCTATTGATGACAATTATTCACAAATAAATTTGTTTTTTCTTTCTTTTAACATTTGATATATACTATATTAATAGTTGATATATACTATATTAATAGTTACAGTATTTTATCAGGTTTTTGTGATACTTAAGAATGCAATAACTAGATTTTCTTTTTTATAGTAATATTTCACTTTCTTCTTTTAAAAACAATCATTATTTATTATTTAGTATCAGAAGCAACAGAACTTTAGTAGTTAACTACTATGTTAAAGTTTGATTGTAGAACAAACAATTATTACCAATGACAAATATCTATTTACTTACTTACTAAATATTTAATTTATTACCATAAAATAAAATAATATTTTCACTTCCAGTGTATTGATATGACAGTTTTTACAACTAAATATTTACTATTCATTACTACTGTATTAATATATTCTTAACAAGTGCTATAAAGAGCCTATTTGACTGGTGTCATCTGTGAATGCACAATAAATGTTGATTTTACAGTTTTTCTTACTTGTGCAATACTGTACAACATCATTATAAATGATGTTTACCCAATATTATGAAACTTCAATCTGATAGTATGGAGGTATTATCCATGCTATCAGAATGCTGAACGAGAAGGTTGTAGAGAATTACATTGGGATGTCTTATAGTCAAGTTTTATTCGACTGATGTTGGTGTTGAATATATATAAATACAAACCCTATGAAATAATGTTATTTAAGGGAGAATTAATTTAAATTAATATTGCACATAATTTTACCATTTTTTAAAATTAATGTAAGTCTTAATATTTGTTGTTTAAATCTAATATCACTTTTGTGTTACAGGCTGTTTGCTAGTTGACTCATTTGCATAATTCACCAGACCATGGTCTCATCACAATGATATATTATGATAATGAATATTCATTGTCACACTTGAAAACTACAAAAATCAGGAAACTGCTGAAATGACACCACAGCAAGAGCAACTTCTAGATAGCATTGCATGTGCGTTTCACCACAGCAAATCACGCACGTTGTAACCTTCTACCGGTTGGATAGGCCTGGGAACATTTTAAAGTAAGTCTACAATTAGACCAACACATAAGTTACTTTTATATCACTAACCTTCTTGACAAACAACCCATCTAATCATAACCATCCATTTCATGAATATTTGCTACTACATGTACGAGGTTCACCTTGATTTTACAGTTTTTAGCCCACTCCCTGAGGGAGAGGGCTTGTACTATGATTTTGAGCGAAGTCATTTCCTTTTCTATCAGGGCCTTTATTTGCGACATGATTTCTATCAGGGCCTTTATTTGTGACGCGATTAGGCTGATTTTGTAATAATATAGAAGAGAAGGCTTGGGAAATTTAAAGTATGGAAAGAGTTTTTCGAAAATATTGTCGGGAAATTCGTGAAATTGTATGTTCTTATATCATATTTCTTGCCATTGGGATAGGTTTCTTAAGAAAGGGTGTTCGTCATTGGTCAGATTGCAAATGGTCTCTATATTCCATATTGTGTGTATCAATAATCACAGCCTAGAATTATGGCATGCCTTATGGCAAATAATGCATCTGTGTTGAGTCTAGATAGCGATACAGTATGTACTGCTGTTTCGTGGTGCTTGCAAATTATGATGATTTTTTTTGTCCCTCCTCTACTCTGTTACTTTTAGCAGGATAATCTTGCTAAATTAAAAAATAATATTTTTATATTTCTCCCGCCCGCCGCTAAACACTAAAAAAATTAGATGTGCTAAACAAGATAATAAAAAAATATCGTCTTATAGCCAATACCTGATTTTCAACAGAAATTGCGTAGAAAACAGCCTTTATTTTCCAAAATATGTGGGCGGATTTTTAAGGTCAATTTATTCGCCCATGCAGGCCTTATTTTACAGTCAGGAATATGCGCAAGAAAAAAGTCCTTGGTATGAGTATTTTAATTGCACAGTGAATACTCTAAAACGTAAGGAGATAATGTGCAAGCAATTCAGAATTGTGCATTAACAGTTAGGCGCGATCGCCAAATTATTCCAGACGGCAAAAACACGTATAGGTCAGCACACTATCACGAACGCGTCTAAGAAATAAACCATTCTAATTACCACGCTATATGAATATTCATTTGCTACAAGCTTGAAATATGGCTTGCGTCTGGATGATGGTGAATTGTTTGGACGCTTGTTGATCGTTTGAACGATTTTCTATTGTTTACTACTACTACTAGCACGGTCAATTGGCCTACTTGAGTGCGTAGAAATACTGGCGGTTCAAATAATGTTATTATGCAGCTCCTATTCTTTCTTATATGTACATGTGGCTATACTTTCTCTATGCTTATATGAAGCTGTAATGAGATTTGTAAATTACATTATCACAACATGCCTGGAGGTCCAGGGTGCGGTATGCGCTAAGCGAGTTCTGTTGGAATTCGCTTTGTACGTTGCGCTGTAGATAGAACTACGTCGAGACTCTAAAAATAGCGCTGACGTTTTCTTTGCTGAAGTCAAGGCGGGCGGGTACATTAGCATTATAAATCACAAACATACTTCAAACTTTAAGTGCCATGGTATAGTCAGCGTTACATTCTGGCCTAAATATAAAATCAAATCTAGGCCTAGATAGGTAGTCTGCCTATCTTTTATCCTTTTCACAAAAGGCTACTCTCTAATGTGTTCTGTACTGTGTATACTATGCAGCAGTGCTTTTTCTTTAAGTTCTGTACTGTAGGTCCTCCGAATTGAGAGATGTATATTTGGTTGACTAGTAAAATGTAGATAAATTTGGCCCTCATCCAAAAAAACAAAAACAATCACGCACCAGTGGCACTAGGTGAAAGGTCGACCATGTGGCTTTCTCTCCTTGTGTGTAATTTTTTTCTTAAACTTGCTTTCTAATTTATCTAAATTATTATGTCTACGTGGTAATAGATAAATTTCTACAAAATATAATGTTTATTAATTGTTGTTTTATTTTTTTAATGAATTATTATTAACGTATATAGTACATGCAAATTTGCTATGTCAAAAAAGCTCACCACACACTTCCACAATGTTTGGCTGTGGTATCTCTCAGTCTATTGTCATAGTAACCAAATGGCAAGCTTCTGATAAGGTATCTCTTTGGCAGTTTGAGCAGAGTTTGAGATTGTTTCAAGAGATACCTAGGCCTGGTGTGGTGTCCCGAAATCTCAGACCACGAAAGCTAAGACCTAAGACCACGAGATATCAGACCCACTCAAAATATCAGACCCTGCAAATTAAGACCCTCAACTAAGTATGCCAGGATTTCTAGACAATACCTTTATTCGAAAGCTAACGTCAAAATAAAGAACTGACTAATCATAAAATAAACACCATTAAGTAACATCGATAACAGCTAGGCCCCATTTGCGACGTTTACTGGAGAAAACTAATATAGTACAAATAGTGGTGGCGCCAGGACCTGCCTGACGGAGGGGCTAAAGGCCCCGACGGGGGGAGGGGGGCTAGTGGAGCGAATCAAGTCTCACTTGGCCGGGGGCTGGGGGCCGGCTAGAGCCCCGGTGGGAAGCCACGGATATTTGATGAATTATGGCGAATTTTTATTACTTATTTGATAGGCATCGAGTTACTATAATATGACTTCATGTAGGCTATGCTTTCTAATGTTGAAATCAGCTTCCAAAACCAAAACATTTTGAATAAAGCAAGAAACAAAGAGTGTGCAATGTAACCATCTAATTTATTTTCAAATCCTCATTCTTGAAAGTGAAATTCTATTTTTTGGAAATTTGGCATGAAATCTGTCAATTACGCTGTCATGGTCGAGGTTGCTTCACCTATCACAATGTATTTCAACCATCATGAGGCTATCTAAATGAACATTTGTCATAAACAGAATGCAAATTATTTTTAATTGGTCTCATTTAATTATTATTGTTGTTGTGATGAAAAATTAACACAAACAGTATGGTGGCTAAATGAATGTTGCATGTAAATATTTTTTTTATATTTGTTTGTGTCCCGACAAAATTTATCGTCTTCTCCGATGGGGGGGCTATGCTTCCCTGACAGGGGGGGGGCTATAGCCCCCCATCCCCTCTGGCGCCACCACTGAGTACAAATAAACCAGCTATTCGCACTCCACGGAACCGTACGGTACGGTTTCGGTACGTTTTCGATAGTGGTTTCTAATGCACATCTATCGTGGGAATACTGTATCTGATATTATGGTTCTCGATCGTTCTCACTCTTTATATTTTTGGGATAGTTTGTTCTTTTTACATTCACCTTACCTTTCTTTACTTGCTTCTTTTTTTGTTTTATATTCGGTTTCAAAATATTATGTAATAAAAGAGATAAAATTACTAAAAGCATAGAACATGAAACCAGGACCAGTGGCGGATCCAG